TGAATATAAATATAGACATGTAAATATTTTCAAAATATATACTGTATGTATAATATTATTTATTATATATACATAATAAACATACACATATATTATGCAAATTAATTATTTGACAGCACTAACATATATATATATATATATATATAATGTGTCAAACGATTAATCGCATCCAAAATAAAAGTTTTTGTTTATATAATATACAGTGGGGGAAAAAAGTATTTAGTCAGCCACCAATTGTGCAAGTTCTCCCACTTAAAAAGATGAGAGAGGCCTGTAATTTTCATCATAGGTATACCTCAACTATGAGAGACAAAATGAGAAAAAAAATCCAGAAAATCACATTGTAGGATTTTTAAAGAATTTATTTGCAAATTATGGTGGAAAATAAGTATTTGGTCAATAACAAAATTTCATCTCAATACTTTGTTATAATATACCCTTTGTTAATATATAAACACAACATATTTTTCTTAAATATATACATGCATGTGCATGTATTTACATATACATAATAACTATACACAGTACACACACATATATTTTGTAAACAAATACTTTTATTTTGGATGTGATTAATCATTTGACAGTAATTGGTAAATAAATTGTATTCCCTTTAGTGTCTCCCACAATTTTGACATTACTGTATTTTTTTAAATACATTTTAATTATAAAATATAATTTGTAATAATAATAATATAATTAATCATTTTTATTTATACTTAAATTAACTTTAAAATCAATATCAAATTGTTTATTTAAATTTAGAATTAATTTGAATTAATAAAAAATAAAAACATCTTTAGAAAAGACTAAATGTCACACCTTCAAGAAGGCCATAGAGAACATTTGACCTTTTGACCTTTATAAAGAACATATCTTATTTATAAAATTACGTGAAAATTTTGAATTTAAAATTTACATTTATATTTATATTTATAATTCATTTTAATAATAATAATATTAAACGATCATGTACTTTTACACTTGCATGCAAAAGGAACATTGAGAATTGCTATACTGTAGTTAAAAACAAAAATCAAAGTCAAGCCACTGATCTCTCATATAATTTTTGAGTACAAGAGAAACACTATGTTCGGTGTGCACGGGAGTCATGATTAATATGGCGTCGCCGAAAACTCTCCCTTTCCATAATTGGCTACAAATGATATATATCAAAATCATTTTCTACATAGGTGGCACTTAAATGTGCTTTACAACGATGAAGTAAATCTTTCGGCCTAAAAATACTGCCCTTTTTCATCTCTGCATCGCAAAGCCTGGTCCGAGGGCCGCCCGTGTGGTCCCAGCTTAATCGGTTTCAGTTAATATCACAGCTGGGCGGGAGAGAAACCCCTAAACCCGCGTCAATAAAGACAGAAAGCCATTGCCTCTGACTGGCCAAGTTTTAGGGTCAGACTTGGGATGGTTTCAACAACAACAGTGGCGCGTTAATCGTCTTATCGAAAGGCTTTTTTTGAACCCAGAGCCACCTCGAGCGTTCCCCGCGGCCTTCTTTTATTTTCTGCCTGCAGCGTAAGTGGCGGCTGACCACAGTGTTTTGATGGGCGGTCGGCTGCCCATCCTGTTCCCACATTTCCTAGACCACGGCGAGGAAGGCGCTTGTTCAACATGTTTCCCGCCTCAATACCTCCCACGTGTTGAGCGCTTTCAACGCCAGATGACATCACATGATTTAAGTGACTTGAGCTGCTGATTGCAAACAGACGCTGAAATATCTCTTCTAAGGAAAGCCTATCCTCACGGTGGCTTGTAAAGCTATTTTAAATGTATAATAAACAGCTGACTCTATTATAAGTTCTTAAAGTCAGGACGGAATGAAAACTGAGCCTATGTATTTGCTTAAAGCTCGTTACTGTTCTAATGTGAAAGATTGATCAGTTTATGTTATTCCGAATAATAAAAATAAAGCTGACTTGGTAATTATTAATCAAATGTAGGCTATTTAGAACATTTTCTGTTACACAGTAATTATTATATTCATTATATACATTATATTATTATTTCATGCGTGTTATTCCAGATAATAATAAAAAAATGCTTCTAATCTGTATCTCTAAATAGTTAAAATGTTATTAAAGTTAGAATAATTATGTGTATTTATGTATTGCTATATAAATTATATTATGTCATAATTCATGTAATTATATAAATTATATTTTATTATTATTATTCTATTAATATATATTATAATTATTATACAAAAACATTATAATTTAATAATTAATTTTATTTTATTTTATAGAATTTAATTATTATTATTATTTTATTATTAATGATATTATTAGTATAATTCTATTACATGGTAATTATTATATTAATTATATAATTTTTTTATTATATCATGCATGTTATTCCAGATAATATTAAAAAAGCCTCTAATCTGCATCTCTATATAATCAAAATGTAGCATTTGCTCTTCCACTTTTTTATAATAATGACTATATTTATATAATATATATTATTTATTAATTATAGGTAGAATAATTATGTGCATAAATATTATTATATAAATTATAAAAATTACATTATGTAATTCATGTAATTATGTAAATCATATTTTATTATCACAATTCTATATACTATGAATATATGAATATATACTATTTTTATTATAATTGTATTGTAATTCTATTAATATATATGTATTATAACTATTATACAAAAAACGTATATATGTGATTTTATATAAATGTATTATTATTATTATTATATAAGTATATAGCAATTATATACATATAACTATTATAATACTTACATTAATTATTATTAATAATAATTACAGTAATAATTGTATCAATTATATTATTACAAAATATATTGCATTCCATATATTACTAAATATGCCTCCAATCTGCATCATATTAGAGCTGTCAAATGATTAATCGCGATCAATTGCATCCAAAATAATAGTTTTGGTTACATAATATATACGTTTGTACTGTGATTATTTATTATGTATTTATAAATACACACACATGCCAGTATTTATTTTTTAGAAAAATGTTATGTTTATATTTTAAATATATTTATATATAATATAAATTATATGAATATGAATATATACATGTAAATACATGTAAATATTTTCGAAATATATATTGTATGTGTGTGTACTTATATATATA